TATAGGTATATATAGAGTGTATCTAAAAAATAAGTGCGCAAAATTTTAGGAAACGATTCTTTATCGAAAATTAAGGCGGGTCTCTTATATAAACATATATGTATATTCTTATATCCCTCTCTGAGGAGTTACACTTTTAAATACGGCTTGTTAGTTTCGTCCCCTCATAACGATACAGGAAGATCAAAAAAATATTAATAAATATCCATCAAATTTCATTTTTCAAATTTGTCTGAAATTTGAGAAAAATCTCCCTTTAAAAAAGTGTAACTCTTCAGGGAGGGATATAAGAGTATATAATAAACCTCCCTTAATTTTCGACAAAGAATCATCTCCTAAAGTTTTTCACACTTATTTAAATGCACCTTGTATATTGCGCGCACGCTCTTAAATATCCTGAAATATATGTATAATGAGAATACACAAATAGAGACAAATGGCAGAAAAATGCAAAATAATTCATCGTACAAACATAGATTGATAATACAAAATGCATTTTCATTCCAGTTTAAAAGTGTTTATGCAAATACGAATATATTTTTGTCCTTTTAGGTCGCAGATAAATTTCATATCGCGAAGCGCCGTGATGGATATTCGTCAATCGATCTGATCTAATTTCTAAGAGACCAACCCGTTTTTCTACGTCCCGTACATTTTTCTATACCTGATCATGTTTGTGCAGCTGCATTTGACATGTTTGGACGAGACTATAGCGAGTAGCGCAACTATTGTTCAGTGTCGAGGCGTTAGCACGATACGTCAAAATGTCACTTTCTTCTTAAGAGCAGAAGAGGGAAAGGTTTTTATCTTTATTACCGTCGAGATTCGAGCTCGTTAAAACTTTTCTTCATCATAATTGACCTTTAATTACAGAATCTGTATATGTATTGATTCTAAAGCGTAATTAAATTCCATCTCGTAATATGATTTGATATATGTAAGTAATTTCCTTAGAAAATATCAATATTGAAAACACTGTTTCATGTTTGCTGTTGATAATAATTTTTTAGTAAAAAATTGTAAATAAATAAAAGAAAAGAGGGAGAGAGAGAATGCATAAGAAATTGCACACAATGATTGACATTCTGCAAATTTCACAGTTATTATGTTTCTACTTTATTACGCGAAAATATGTAAGATTCGTTTCAACTCGCGAGTTTGTACTTGAAGCAACGTAAAACCGATGAGAATCCGTTGTACCGAGTTGTGGCATAATGAGTTGCCGTTATTACCGAAGTAAATTAAAAAGTGCATTTTCGATATATCTTTTACAGCGGAAGAGAAACATCAAAGTTTCCCAATAACCTCGTATCGTGAATCGTATAATCGTATCTTGAAAGTTATAGGACTTATTATTGTTGTTTTCGAGTTTCGATTGTCTTGGAACGGCAAAGTAAAAATAAGAAGACGATAAATAATACGCTATGACAGATAAAACGTAAGTTCTCTGTCAAGGTTTTGCACTCTGTGTTTGTGCAAAACCTTGCCGATAACGAAACCATTGAAATACACACTTTTTCATATACATATATATATATATATATATATATATATATATATATATATATATACATATACAATATATATGAATAAGCTGTGTGTACGGGTAAGTATATCTATTAAAGGATACAATCCGAAATTAAAGATTTATATCAGTTTGCGCGCATTCATCGAGAGATATGTTAGCTAGCTTAGATAAATATGCTTAACGTAACGGCTTCCAGTTTCGGGATAATATTGCACCACAGCATCCTAAGTCATATGTTCCTCTATTGCGCATCAAACCGCAGGCGACAGCGAATATTCCATAATACAAACTAGATGTACATACACCGGCGCAATTAATTGCAGCAATCTCTGGTATATGAGCAGAATATAGTGAAATAAAAGAGCATTAGTCTGAGAAATCAATTGAATAAATTTAAATCTTATAATTAGCGGAAAAAAATGTATAGATAATAATATAATAAACACACGTTCGGAAATACTTAACGAGTCATTAACGAATCATTGTCAAAGATTAAAAAAAAAAAACGCATTTTAAACCTCTGAATATTAAGATGTAAAACTTTGACGAGAAAATGGGCGATTCTTCGTATTTTTATCGAAAGATAGTAGAGATATGGTGCTATTTACAGCAGATATCACAAGAAACGAGAGACAAGAGAATCGGGACGAAAAATAGAGGAGGAATTTCTAAGTAAACAGTGTACTATATATATAGAGAAGGAAAACCAAGCAAACAGAGGCCGACGAAAAGTGAGCAGCAAACTCTTGGAACCTATATCGTACAGAATGTTAAAACGATGGCAGACTTAAGTAAATACTCAAGATGCAAGTTTTCTACGCAAGTTTCAGGCCCATATTAGACGATGCAAAATTCATAGAACAGAATACATTTAGGATAATATTCTCCTCGCGAAATTATAGATCGTTTAAAATGAGCTTCAAACAGAGATAGAAAGAGAGGACAAAACGACAATCGCTGGAAGATAGAAAATAGACTGCTGGCAGTACTGGACGTTCGTGCGATAATATCAAATTGAACAAGAGCGGAAAATCGAATGGATATATATACATATATATAAGTACTTTTCAAGCATTGTACAATTCTTCGGGACTCAAAGAAGAAATAATACTTAATGATGACTTACGGGAAGCGATATACGAACCACCGGCTGTCTTTTCGACATTTTCTACTGCGCTGTTTTTTCGACTGCGCACTCTCGTTCCTATGTTGCGACATTCAGAGCTGCATTCACACAGAAGAAACAATATAATTTATATCACACAATCTGACAATCCTATTGCTCTTAAATGGACGGTGTTATGCGGAGAAATGAATTAAAATTGAGAAATTTTTGACAGGGAATCAATGATGTATAAGTAGAATTGAGCTGATAACATATATACAATTCTGAAAAGAATTTTACATTCAACGTTGTACGTCATCTAAGAACAAAAATGTCACTTGCACAATAAATTATTTAATGCACAAATTGTTTTGTGCAAAAAGTCACATGTCTGTCTTTTTTTCTAGCAACGACATTTCAATTTTTTATCATTTTGTTTGTCTCAAAAAGCGTGTTTTAAACATTTTTATTAATTAATTATATTTCACAGCTCATATTTATAATTTGTCACAGCATAAATGTTTAGATTTGCCTAATTTTTTAAATAAAATTTTTCAGTAAAATATACATGTAGTACAGTATAAATTTCAAGAATTTGGAGAGAAAGCAGAAATAAATATAAATTAATATATTTTCTTAAACAAGAAATCTATAACATGATGTCATGCAAAAAGTAGTCATTTTTCTTATTCAAAAGATTTTATTTTATAAAAAATGTTAGTATTTCAAAAAATAAAAATAAAAATCATATAGAGATAATTCACAGAACTGTGTATTTTAAGAGAAACTATTGTATGTTTAAAAAATAATCGTTACATATGTCTTTATTTTTAACAACATATTAGATTTTTACAATTTATTAATTAAATTATTCACAATTATTTCATTAACTCATTTTTGCATAACACCGTCCAAATTAAATATATATTCTTTAATTAGAATCGATTTTGTCATCGATCAATCATTTAGTTAGCAAATCTAATCATCCGTCGAAACGCGAAATATCTCGTTGCTCCAACAACAATTAGCACTAATTGACAATTAAACTTCCTGTTAAATTAGCCCACTAAATTTTAGTACGTAACTAGAGATTAAATCTACCATAACGTTATATATCTAATGTTCTACTAGTTTTCGACGAGTACAACAAACTCTGTAAATTATATAAGTAAAAGTAGGTACGAACATTATATAGGATGTCGTAGAATTATCAAAAATTATGCTTATCAATATAATTACGCTATTGTAAAAAATACTTCAAAAAAATTATTGGATGCCCTCTCAACTACGTTGCATCTTCCTCGACAAGTTTGGTATCGATTCTTCTTGAACGAGAATATCACGTGCCATTTTCGGTCAACTAATAATAAAAAATAAAAGGATTTTAGTGAATTAAAAGGAGAAAATCACATCGCAATCTTATTCTTCAATCAATCTCAAATAGATTTCAATAAAAATTTAATTCAAGACTTAAATCATAAAAGATCAAGAGTATCTTAAAAATCGGACATACAAATGATGATATTAATGTCGATAAATCAATATTTTTGTTGAGAAAAAAATCATCTTAAAACAAAAAAAAATAGCGATTAGCAAAATATCCGATAGTTCTTGAACACCCTATATCTAACCTCAAGCTTCAGGCGCTGTTCTGGCCCGACGTACGTGCATCACGGCCCATATTAACGGAAGAGTATAGCGAAGTGTAACGTACAATCGTACGTAGTAAGGCTTCGTCACCACCTAGGTCACCCGTCACTTCAATTATTATAGATTACATTAGAAAAGAAAAAATGAACTTGGAATTGATCAAAAAATCCGTAGATAAAAAATAGCTTACTAGAGAAAGCTTTATATTATACGGGGTGTCCCAGACCTACCGTATCAAACGTTAATGAGAGATTCCTGAGGCGATTTGGAGACGATTTTTCCTCAGCGAAAATGTCCAGGCACCAATAATTTTCGAGTTATAACCACCGATTGAAAATAAAAGCTTTTTTGTAAACTAAGCCTTGTAAAAATAAATTATTAACAAAACTACACTTTTGTTAATTTCAGATAAAGTTTACTTTAATAGAATTTTAATTCATGGCTTAGTTACAAAGATACATATAATTTCAAAAATTAGAAACATTAGAAAAATGATGGTCTCTCTGGACATTTTGGCTGAGGAAAAGTCGTCCCCAAATCGCCTCAGGAATCTCCCATTAACGTGTGATACGGTATGTCTGGGACCCTGTATATGCACTATATTAAATCTGAAATAAAGAAGACAACCATCATAATAACGTCTCGTGAATGAATCAGCTAGAAGCGTTCTAAACTAAAAATGGAAATAAACCCTAATAGACGAATAACCTAATGTACCTTGAGGGCAGGAAGGACCGTCGCGAGGTCTGAGGGGGTCCGGGCCGTGGATGCTTGATTTGTTGCCCCGTAGCTTCGCTGATGCTGATAACTGCAGAGATTTTTGTGAGCACTGGCCTGAGCTGTGTAAGCCGACACTGATAACTTCATTTCTCTCTGTTCCCGATAAAAGGTCTGATACTCCCGACAACTTGGCGGGAAAGGCCGAGACGCATTCTGGATTTCCTCGTGATATCCTTAAGCCACCGTAAATAGCGGCGCGCGGATAAATTGCCGGGTCGAAAGTTGTCGAAGGAGGAAAGCGATGAGGAAGGACCCTTTTGTCGAATTTCGCGCAGTTCGCGTTGTCAATATTTGCCCTTCGGATCCGCTCTCTCGCTCTTGTTTCTTAATTTTTTTGGAAAATGACCTCGCGTCTTATCCCGGGAAAGCCGCGACTTTCTATCGAATTTATTTGACGACGCTTATCTCGTATAATCCTATTTTCGGAAGCGAGAAACTTTGCTCTTTTTTTCTCGCCCCCTGGTTTGCATAACGAGCCGCAATTTTCGATGAGGCGCGAACGGTGCGAAGCAGCGCGCCATGAAAGAAAAAATGTCGAGACAATTTTCCGACATGCGGTCGAGAGCGTTAAGGACAAAGACGCCGAACCGAGTGATCACCCTTCGTTTTTTCGCGGAGACGTGACGATCGACTCGTTATCAATCCACCCTGGCTAGCTCGTGATAAACGAACGACAACGCTGTCTCGCTATACGTTGATCTCCTTGACAGTCTCGCCTTTCCACGGTCGCTGATTTCCCGCGAGGGCAAAAATGTAAGCGTACGTGACTTCTCGTCCTTTCGCACCTTTCCCGGCTGATGGTCCTTCCGGTTTCCTCGATGTCCCTCGACGTATCCTCGACGTATCCTTCGATCCCTCGTTTCGCGACCGTTTTAAATCTCGATCGATCCCGATCCCAATTGTGACCAGCCGTAATCTCGGAAATCCTTCTTTCGCCGTTTGATCGTCGATCTATCACGATCCTCCCTTTCGTCAATCTACCTTGGCGAAGATTCTCAATCTTCTAATCTCCAACTCTCGGGGCTCTGATATATTAGTCGGCTTCTACTTCATAGCAGAGAATCTCTCCCTTACGATATCTCCGCGTAACATTCTAGATTACTTGACCGGGATACTCGATTAAAAGTATAAGATATACTCGATCGGATAAAATCTCCGAGACGAGAAAAACTTTTCTTGCCTCTTTATACGATAGATAAATATATCTTTCGATTTTAGATACGCGCTTTTTGATGTTTCAGTCGGTCTTCCGATGGTTCCAGGTCGAATCGATTAGCGGTTGCAGAATACGACTGTCGAGAAAACGCGACTCTATCGTTTTCCGATCTAAATTCACCTCTTCTCGTCTTTTCTCCCTTAGTCCGCGCTTTCCAAATATTCGATGCTCGCAGGTTGTCGTATTTTTTTGTTTACGTAAATCCGTTTACGTAAATGCGATCCGTCCGATTAGGATCGTCTCCGTGGGAATTTTCCAAGAGGGTGGAGATACCAGAGATTCGCGTCGATCTGTAAATTTGTATTATCCACGTCCGCGACAAACATCGCCGAGCGGCGAGCTTTTCGCTCGCTAATTCGCGATCGATCTCGTGGTCCGAAGGAACTGCGGAATTACGATTAATCGGAGATACGCGAGACACGAGTCTCAAGAGGAAACGCTGCACGGGGACGCGAATCTTGTCCTTTCACGCTTATGGGACGACCTCTCGTTCCTCCGATTCCTCTCCATCCTCGAATAATCGCGTCGCTTATCACTGTTGCGTTGATCACAAGCCGGCTAATAACTCCGGAGCACTTTGGGTTTAACGAAGCACACTCTCGACTAGCTGCGGGTACTCAAGACGAGTTCAGTTCTTCCTCGTCGAGTTGGGACGCTCGCGTTTCTCGCCACTTGTACATTCTCGCGATTCTGTAAGTCTTGGTAAACGCGGAGCTTATACACAATCCGTAATGCTTGTGTGTAATACGATGTCGATCGCTCGGGAGAGCACGAAGGGAAGCTGCAAGATGGCCCCGATCGATCGTAACGATATTTGAATTTCTTGTACGTGTCCTCTTTCCCCTTCACGGCTCGATATATCCCTCGTAGTTTCGCAGCTTTCCTCCTTTCTCACTCCCACGCGTTCGATCACTATCAAGACGACGACGTCGACGAGGGGGAAAAAAAGTGGATTTTCTGTCTTACGTTTTTCAACTGTCGTTGGATATCGTTCGAAGATCCGTCTCTTTAATTCTTCGAGTCGAATAAAATGCGAGCTTATTGTCACTGTCGCGCGTCACTTCGATGCAAGCTTAAGGGTAGAAGGAAGATTAAGAGCTTCGTCATGAGGCAGCATTTCCCGAATTTTGCGATATCATCGTGATGGTTCGAGAATTGGAACGGCTCTCTCTCTCTCTCTTTTTTTGTGTTCGCGATTAATAAGATTTTAATATATTCGTAACGTTAGATCACTATAAGTAGGGATCACGGAGGATTCTGGATGCTTGTGGTACTTAATGTTTCGTAGAACAGCGTATCTCTCATCATCGTATAATGTAATCTTACAACAATAGCGACGATAAAGCAACTTTATATAAGGAGGCAACTTGTAATATAGCAGCTTTGAATCTGCACAATTCTACGTACAATCTATGAGAGAAATCTATAATATATAGTATAATGCACGATTTATGTGATCTTCCAAGTGAATATGATATTGTATTATATATGTGTAACATTTTTATGTTCTCAGCATATTTGGAGCATACGTAATGATGTCGAAAAGAAACGACCATCTTGAAAAGAAAAATTGATCTAGAGACTTTCAATATTTCAATCTATATGTGCATATGTGAGCTTTCAGCTTTATAATATATACACACCATTTATAATCTTTGAATATGTTTACAAGTGCGACACTTAAATTAGAGCGATATTTATTCGCGATATTCGATGCACAATTTAATTTTATGGTCACAAAAAATCTAGAGATTTTCAATATTTCAATCTACATGTGTATGTGAGCTTCAGCTTTATAATATATACACACAATCTATAATCTTTATGTTACAAGTGCGACATATAAAACTAAAACGATATTTATTCGAGATATTCGATGCACAATTTAATTTATGATGACAAAAAATCTAGAGACTTTCTTTCAATATTTTAATCTACATGTGTATATGTGAGCTTCTGCTTTATAATATATACACACAATCTATAATCTTTGAATATGCTGACAAGTGCGACCACTTATTGTTAAATTAGGACGATATTTTTTCGCGATATTCGATGTACAATTTAATTTTATAATCACAAAAAATGAATCGATTGAATATATAAATAGGCAATAATTAAACTTGATCCGAAAACTTGGATATTTTAACGATCCCTTTAGACCAGCGTGATAAATGACACGAACGCGACACTTTGACAAGTGCGTCCAGTGGTCGATGACGCGAATAAACGAGATTCGCACGCGTCTTCTGGCTTTCAGGATACGTGATGTTGCGATCGCGAGAGACGACGATGCCCTTCCCCACAGGGGATGGCGTTAACGGAGGAAGTCGCCGATGGTGAATGACATTGGTATACGATATAGATGAATGGACGACATGTCGACCGACGACGACGATGACGACGAATGTGGCTGACCGACGAGGCAATCGCATTAAAACGGAACGTGAAGCGAATGCGACGATGTTTAATCCGGACGACGCGACATGAAATCGAGGGATGATGATTAACGTGTGTAATCGCAAACTCTCAGTCGGTCCACTTCACCAGCACGCGCGGCACGAGAAGCGCGAGATCGAAAAATAAAATCAAGAAGAACTCGGGCGAAACGCGCAGCTAACGACGTGGCGTCGCGAAATAATACATATGTATACATTCGTATAACCACTCTGGTTTGTAACTGGATTATCGCCAACGACAACGACACGGGCAAGAACGGAATCATCGACTGACCACTCGAGGTCTGCCCAAGTATGCTCCTATACATATTCGTTATGTATGTACATATATTCGCCTCGACGCGCGCTATAACTGGATTAAATATTATCATAAACTCCGCATACATGAATCATCGACGAATGTGCACCCGCGTTTCATTGCCGTAATTTTGCTTTTGCCTCTAAATAAGAATCTTATCAGGAGACTGACAAGAGAAAAAGAGGCAAAATTTTTCATTTATAATTGAACGGATAAGTTACTTCTCGATGTTAATATTGCTTCATCGATTTTTATTTCCGCGCGCAAAAATATATTATATAAATACTACATAGAAACACAATAATTATTTTAAAATATATAATTTAATATTGATAATATTATATCATATTATATTATAATGTAAAATATACTCCGAGTTCTTTGCACAGAAAATTACTGAGAAATCTATTTGCTATTGTGTATTATGGAACGTGTATAAAGTATATTCGAACTGATTATATACATATTTTCATTTAATCAAGATACAGGAAAAAAAGGTACAATTCTCTCTGTGAACTGAAACCTTTTCCATTTAATTCAATCAAACAATTCATCAAATTATTTTGCATACTATATTTATATTCCACTTATAAATCTATCGAAACTTCTATTTTATTAAATATTGTTATATCTTTCCATTTTTTACTTCTTCTACGAACATATAGTTGGTTCTAGAGCAAATAAAAAGAAATTAATCACAATCACTACCTTTTTTTATCTTTCTCTAGTATCTATGAAAGGAACACGAACAGAAAAAGCGATTTCGAAGAATGCTATCGATCACTCGAATCGACGATTACGAAAGATCTGTGAGGAATCGGAATCAAGTATAGTGTGGCAGAGAGAGAACTGTTCGAGAAAGCTCTCTGCAAGAGCTTTACCAAGAAGAGAAACCTGTCCGAAGAAAAGAAGAGATTTTCGCTTTAAACCCTTTTTTTAAACTTTGAATTTATGCATAAGACTGTATCTAAAAAATAGGAAAAAGAAATTAAAATATTCAGAATAGTGAAATGAGAAATTATTAATAATACATACAAATAATAATCTAAAAATTAACTCTGATATGTACATGATGTTTTACATCGTGACACATGTGCTAATTTAAAAAACTATAATTTTAATTCCTTGACACATAATATTATATTTTTGTATATCTAAATGTAATTATTTAAAATAATTAAATTATTTAAAGAAGACAAAAATTATGATAGATGCAAAATTTATGGAAAATTAATTAAAAATAATTATAAAGTATGGTTGAAATAAGTTATTATTATATTTCATGAACTGAACAAAAATAAAGGATAAAATAAAACCGATATATAAGACACGTGTATGTCTTGCAAAAATAACGCGAGACCAATTTTAAAGATCATTTTTCACGAGCTATGAAAAAATGAAAGATACAGCATTTTTATTAAGAAAGCTTACAGTTAATCTCTCGTCAGCCCTTTCTCTTCCCTATCTTTCTCTTCTCGCGATCACGTTTACGCAAAAAAGATTCAATTCCGCACGCCAATTTCTTTGACTGTTGTATTACACGATTATGATATTTCTCTTTTAGAGTGTTGTATCAATTTAAACTGGGGAAACTGTTGGAAGCCAAATCCAATTATAAAGTCGCTCTGCTTCCTAGATCTAAGGCTTTTTATAATCCCTCGGACGATGCGGACGATTTATTTTAGAGGAATCGCTTTGAATTAATTATGGAGCATCGCGAAATTAAATTTGACATTTCTCTGTATGTCATGCCTCATTTTTGTATGCACCAAACAGAAAACTGGCATAATTATAATTGTTTTACGTCATTTCTTATTCACTAATTAAATATCAATCATTATATTACGGACAGAAGACATTGTAAAATCAAATATTATGAAATAAGAGACAAAAAGAGAGAGAGAAGTTGGAAAGTCAAAGAATATTCGTCGACACAAAACATTACGAGAGCTGTAAAAGCTATAACGACACAATGCGAGAAAATGACTTCCGATTACGGAATTGTTGTAATTTTCTTTTAAGAAATGTTGTTACCTCGCGACTCGTAAAGAATGAAAAGAAACGCGAATACATCGTATTCGCGAGAAACTGATTTAATGTCAGTAGGGCAGAGTTGGTTATACTTATGAAAGAATGGATTATAATAATAGAATCGTAAACTCCGAGAGCGATATAATTCCATCAAATATTGACTGTCGCGCTCTGCTCGTGAACCACCACCTTCGATCGCTTCGCGTTTCACTTAGAATAAATATCGGAAGACGATACTATACATAAAGGCTCTCCGAACTACTCTCGACAACTACTTGAAGATATCCGATCCTCAGCGGATATCACAAGACATCGAAGAGATGTCGCCGAAAATTCCTCCGACGAAGATCATCAACCGAGCGAAGATTCGCGCACCGATCTTCAAGTTCTTCCTCGAGGAAGTCCGATGACAGATCACAAAAGAGTATATATCACGATCTTCGGTTTCTCGCCTCCTCTTCGCGATTTCGCCGATTGCGTTTCACCAAAAATCGACGATCTCTCTCACCGATCTCGTCCGATCACCTGATCGTCGTATCGTTCGGGATCGAGAAACCGCGAAGAACCGGTATTTACTCACGCACGTGTCACGCGACCCCCGACGACGAAAGTCACTAGAAGACCGGTAGCAATCCCCGCCTGACGAGAAGCACGGAAAGTGTTAGAGAGAGGACGTCGGGACGACAGACGACGTGGCGGGAGGTTTGACGACGATGGTGGGGCTCTATGTTTGGGGAGAGAGAAAGCCGACAAAGAGAGGGGCGGGAGAACGCGTACGGGGGTTGGAATCGAATTGGTGAGAAGAGTGCGACGAGAAGAGAGGGTTGCGAGGGATCCGATCCCCACTACGATCCTTTTACATCCGCGGATTAAAAACCGAAGTTACCACCCCTATCTCATCCCCTCTTCGCGCGCTTATCCCCCGAGGGATGCTGCGCAGTCTCCGGAACACTGACACACTGTGCTACAGACACAGAACGCGAACTCGGTCCGATATAATAAACTGATAATGCTTCTCGCGGTATATATCGTACAATGTGATCCGTGAAAGAGAGAGAAAAGATAAAAAAATTGACAATAAGTGGGTTAATATAAAAAAAAGATATAATAATAATAATATATAGTCAAAGATATTTGTGTGTAAATATAGACATGACAATAAATTATATGCACAATTTTATCGATTCATATTGGCATTATATGTATAACGAGAAATAGGCACAAGTTTGTTGTAAAGACAATTATTCATATGTGCGATAAAATGATATAATATCTGTGAATGGATTTATTCTTTATAATAATTTATTACATATATATATTGTATATATTATATCTATGTAATATATAATATTTACAATATATTGTATAAATATTATATAAAATAAATTTTTAGAAATAGATTATTTCTTATAGTAAAAAAATTAAAAAAGTTAATATATAATACGTACGTATATAATAATAATTATATATGTATACACATAATATGAGTGTATCATATATTAATATATTAACTTTTTTATTGTAAAAAAATAATTTATTTCTAATCATTTTATTTTTATCAGATTATTATATCGTATCGCATTAAGAACATTCAATAATCCGTTAATTTGTAATATTGTTCAAGATTTAACGCAAAATTAGAATTATCTTTTAAATTCTTGCGTAAATACAATTCTTTATCAATGCATCTAAAGAAATAATAATGCAGTTCTTCAGAAATTACAAGTTATTAATTTATCAGTTATATTAATTTATCAGTAATTAATGTATTTCTAGGATAAATTTTTATTTGTTTTAGAAATTTGGCATAAATTTATCATAAATTAATTTCAGTAATGAACATTCTCTTCCTTTTCAAAGTCAATATTTCATGTCTTTAAATTTTTATCTCAATATCTTTTCAAATTAAATTAATAAAAAAATATTAAATTATTATTTCTATTTATATAATATATTAGATATTTATTAAAATATAAACATAAAATACAAAATAATTATAATAGATATTTAAATGTAATTCTAGCATATATATTGATTTGAAAGGTTTAGATTATTAAACAATATTGTGATTAAAAAATATTGAATTAAAAATATTTATATTGTGATGATTATTATTTTTTTAGAGCATCTCATCAATGTGCAACCATTATAAAATCTAAATGTAGCGATCTTTGCTATCTATTAATTTGTTACACAAATATTATAGCTGTATACTTGGTACAGCTAATTAAAGAAAAAGAGTATGCATATATCAATATACTATATACATAAATATATGTAGCTAACACTACTACACACAAACCTGGTAATAATATCCCACCTTGATTACTTAATCCTTAATATGCATCTTAAATTATTATATATACTTCTATTTAATATAATATAGGTATTCATTTAAATATAAATATAAAATAATTATATAAAATAGATATTTAAATGGAATTCTAGAATATATATTGATTTGAAAGCTTTAGATTAATAAGCAATATTGTGATTGAATATTGAATTAAAAATATTTATATTGTGATGATAATTATTATTTTTTTAGAACATCTCATCAATGTGCAAACATTATAAAATCTAAATGTAGAAATCTTTGCTATCTATTAATTTATTACACAAATATTGCAGCTGTATACTTGGTACAGCTAATTAAAGAAAAAGAATATGCATATATCAATATACTATATATATATACACAAATGTAGCTAACACTACTACACACAAACCTGGTAATAATATCCCACGTCGATTACTTAATCCTTAATATGCATCTTAAATTATTATATATATATATTTCTATTTAATATAATAGGTATTCATTTAAATATAAATATAAATATAAAATATAAAATAATTATATATAATAGATATTTAAATGGAATTTTAGGATATATATTGATTTGAAAGCTTTAGATTAATAAACAATATTGTGATTGAATATTGAATTAAAAACATTTATATTGTGATGATAATTATTATTTTTTAGAGCATCTTATCAATGTGCAAACATTATAAAATCTAAATGTAGAAATCTTTGCTATCTATTAATTTGTTACACAAATATTATAGCTGTATACTTGGTACAGCTAATTAAAGAAAAAGAGTATGCATATATCAATATACTATATACATACATATATGTAGCTAACACTACTACACACAAACCTGGTAATAATATCCCACGTTGATTACTTAATCCTTAATATGCATCTTAAATTATTATATATATTTCTATTTAATATAATAGGTATTCATTTAAATATAAATATAAAATAATTATATAAAATAGATATTTAAATGGAATTCTAGAATATATATTGATTTAAAAGCTTTAGATTAATAAACAATATTGTGATTGAATATTGAATTAAAAATATTTATATTGTGATGATAATTATTATTTTTTTAAAGCATCTCATCAATGTGCACACATTATAAAATCTAAATGTAGAAATCTTTGCTATCTATTAATTTATTACACAAATATTGCAGCTGTATACTTGGTACAGCTAATTAAAGAAAAACAGTATACATACATCAATATACTATATATATGTATATACACATATATAGCTAACACTACTACACACAAACCTGGTAATGATATCCCACGTCGATTACTTAATCCTTATAATATGCATCTTAAATTATTATATATATTTCTATTTAATATAATAGGTATTCATTTAAATATAAATATAAATATAAAATATAAAATAATTATATATAATAGATATTTAAATGGAATTCTAGGATATATATTGATTTGAAAGTTTTAGATTAATAAACAGTATTGTGATTGAATATTGAATTAAAAATATTTATATTGTGATGATGATTATTATTTTTTTAGAGCATCTCATCAATGTGCAAACATTATAAAATCTAAATGTTAGCAATCTTTGCTATCTATTAATTTGTTACACAAATATTGCAGCTGTATACTTGGTACAACTAATTAAAGAAAACAGTTTGCATATATCAATACCATATACGCATATAGCTAAACACTATTATATACACAAACCTGTTGATGATCGCATGTCAATTATCTAATAACATTTAATGTATCTTAAAATATTATGTAATATATATTTCTATTTAATATATAATAGATATATTTATTGAAATATAAATATAAAATATAATTGTAATATATATAATATTTAAATGTAATTTTAGCATATGTATCGATTTGAAAACTTTAGATTATAAACAATATTGTGATTGAATTAAAAATATTATAGTGATTTTTGTAAGTTGGAGCATCTCATTAATGTGCAAACATTATAAAATCTAAATGCAGCAATCTTTATTTGCTATCTATTAAATTTATATTACTCAAATATTACAGCTGTACTTGGTACAGCTAATTTAAAAAAATAGTATGCATATATCAATACCATATATACATATATAGCTAACACTACACACAAACCTGGTGATGATCACACGTCGATTATTTAACTCTTGATGCATCTTGGCGGGAAAACAGCGTGAAGCGGAGAACCCCTGTCGACTTCTGTCGGGCACTTTGGATCACTGAAATCGAATTATCGGCGTATATCAGCGATTGTACACGATGCGCATATTTAATGTATTGTCCGACACTTTATGACACACATTCGCGATGACTTTTCGCGCGCGAGTATTCACTTTTAATAACGATCGCGAAAGATACGGAACGAAATACTCTCGACTCGCGACGCCATGATGCACAATGCACGCGATACCTATCGAGGCAACGAAATTGCGATTCTCGAAATATCGAAACGATCGAACTGGTCGAAGTGACGCGAACAAGTCGCCTACAACTTCACGTTATTGACAATTTTACGTCCCTAACTAGACCTTCGTTCTTTTCCATAATTACGGAAGCAATTAAAAGATGAAGTTAAAATATTTTGAAAATGTTATATTGAAAAATATAATTATATTATATTTTTGTTCGGCCTTCCTTATTTGTATTTAATACTTATATTTATATTATTTATATTTATTTAATTAAAATATAATTGATACAACTAATTGCAGAACGAGAACATTGTACACACATACCTGACAATAATTATATATGTAGCCGTTCCACTTACGACATATTTCGGAGAAAAAAATAACCTGATGAGATATGCGAAAAACGAATTCCGGGCGCACGAAGAAGCGAATCTTTGATATCAATTTCGCGGTAAATTTACTGCGAAATTGATATCCACGATTCGTAATTCACTTCTCCATGTACTCGGAATCCCGTTCGCATATCTTATGTTAATTCTTATCTCCGAATTATTAAATCGTGCACAAACCGTTCGGACCGACACTCACGTTAATCCTTCCACTTCGGACTCCGAGTTTACGTTTAAATAATAACGAACGCGCGAAAGAAAGGTTGCAGTAGAGGGCGTTAGTGCACGGTGAATTTTCGGTCACGTGACACGTGACGTTTACGCACGCGCGATTATAATTTCTATATAGACAACACATGTGTTTGTGTTTTATGTGCCTATGATTTTCTATTAGGAATGTTTGTTGGGCAACGTTAATTGGTTGTTTCTGAAAATTTCCTAGGAATTTCAAGTTGCTAGCCAATCAGGAGCTCCCGCAGTTGCTGTCAACATCAGCTGTCGTCTGCTACAGCGGGGCGATTTCTGACATGTCACACGTAGCTGATACCTTGTAAACAATATAATTATGTCATCTGCATATTTGACGGGAGGCAGATTAAATGTTGGGCTCATTCAGGAACAAGCGAGAAAGCGATTACTTTGCTTATTGGAAAAGTGCGATGGCCCGAAGGTACTGCGACTAATTTACCTAACCCTGATCTAATATCTCATTGGGGAAAAGAGTAATGTAGATTATAAATATTTATTTAATGTATTTTTTAGTCTTTAATTGCTTTTTGTACAGGCTATTATATGGGATCAATCGTTGGCTGGACCGATCGGTCTTGTCGCGAAATATAATTTGCTGGAAGAGTATGGTGTCGTCAAGATGTATCCATTGTACGGAGGAACTTTGACAATACCACCCAACATTGCTAACATCATATTTATCTCGCGACCACAATTAGAGCTCATGGACTTGATTGCTGAAAATGTTCATGGGTGAATATACATATATTGCATTATTGTTGGAATATATGTAATTGTGTGTGCTTTAATAAACTTTGAAAGATTATGTATATTATTAAGATAAAAGTTAATAATATCAATTTTTATTTTTTATTGATCTCAATAGTTTCAGTACAAATTATATTGTATAATATTTCATCATAATAATTGCTGTAATATTACAATGTAATAATTGTATTACAGGGAAGAGGGTAAAAGGCCACGTAAAGAATTTCACTTATTCTTTGTGCCACGCAAGAGTCTGCTTTGTCAGAAGAAGCTTCAAAATCGTGGTGTCTTTGGTAGCTTTACATTAATAGAAGAATTTAAATGCGATCTTTTCCCATTTGATAATGATTTACTATCAATGGAATTGAGTGGATCCTTTAAAGAATTCCATCTGGAAAATGATCCCACTTGTCTCTATCAAGTTGCACAAGCCATACAAGGTTTACAGAAATTATATGGAAAAATTTCAAAAGTGACAGGAAGAGGGCCAGCTGCTAGTAAAGTTTGGGAATTATTAGAGAGATTGAACAGAGAAGAAGAAGATAGTAAAGCAATTTCCACCTCATCTGCTACTATTGAACATTTGTTGTTATTGGATCGATCTGTAGATTTACTTTCACCCCTAGTCACACAGTTGACGTACGAAGGTCTAATCGATGAAATATTTGGGATAAAATATAGTAAAGTATTAATCTTGATTTTATTGTATTTGCAATTATAATAAAGTATTTACTTAATTTTAACGTCATTTCTCAATGTATATACATAAGTATAGATGAAATATTAACATCTTTTTATTTCATTTTAGATACTGTACAATTACCAGCACGAAAGTTTCATGATTCTGAAGATTCTCCTACATCAATATCATTAAATGAAAAGGAACAAATTATATTGAATTCAGGAGAAGAACTTTTTGCTGAGATTAGGTATGTATTTTATCTGTTTTTCTTTAATAGTTAAATCTTATAATCTTAATATAAAATAATAATAATTTTATAATCTTATAATCTTTATTTTTGCAGAGATAAGAATTTTAATGGTGTTGGTCCAGTTCTTAGTAAAAAAGCTAAAGTAATTTCATCTCAATTTGACGAGAGACATGGAGACAAAAGTGTGCAAGAAATTAAACAATTTGTTGCAAGGTTACCACACATGCTAGCAACAAAACAATCTTTAGCAAGGCGTAAGTTATACAGATATTTTTATCTTTGTATAATTTTTTTAATATATTATTTTTGTAATTTTGTTTTAATTATATATTTAATTAGATACCACAATCGCGGAGATGATAAAAGAAGTCACCGACTCGAGCAACTTCTTGGAATCATTGCAAATTGAACAAGAATTGTTAAATTGCATCGACACTGACAAACCAAATGCATACATTGAAGATATGATTGCACAACAACAGCCATTACTTAAAGTTTTACGTCTTCTTTGTATCCAGTCATTAACAAACTCTGGTTTAAAACCAAAATTGTTAGATTATTATAAAAGAGAAATAATTCATACTTATGGTTTTCAACATTTGCCAACTATATTAAATTTGGAAAAGGCTGGATTGTTAAAACAGCAACAGTCAGTGCGACAATATGCGGTTTTGAGAAAAGCATTAAGGCTCACAGTCGAAGATGAAAGTGAAATAACACCGAAAGATATCAGTTACGTACATTCAATATACGCCCCACTGAGCGTGAGACTGGCGGAACAACTAGTACAGCCAAGTGGATGGCAAGGATTAAACGATGTGATGGGATTACTACCAGGTCCTACTGTAAGCAATGTTCCATATAATACATCCTTATTGGTGAGACGTAAGTTATATATTTATATTCTATTTGACTATGTAGCGTTTGTTTCAAAATATACATTTATATTTCCCAGATATAATAAATCTTCCTTCCAGGAAATTCTATTACTAGTGAAGATTCTAGTTCTGAACCACCAAAATTAATCATGGTATTTTTTATCGGTGGATGTACTTTTGCCGAGATATCTGCTCTTCGCTTTCTCTCACAGCAAGAAGATTGTAAGTATTTTACAAGATGCATTTATTTGTTTATATCAATAAATTGAGAGGCATATAATTAAGTGTAATATAAATTTAATTTCAGTGAATGTTGAATTCGTCGTGGGCACTACTAGATTAATTAATGGCGACACGTTTCTCACTTCGTTGATGGAAGATTTAGAACACACGTGAACAGGAGAACGCATAAACTGAAATACCAAAATAGGAGCATTTAATAATTTTCACGTGGTAAAGCGAAATTCGTGTAAATATATTTTTCTTCCCTGTCTCTTTATTTTATATTTATCCAATTATACACTTAATTTTTAAAAGGTAAGATAATTTTCTAAAATATACATATTGATGTATGCATTTTATATATATACATATATATATATACGAAACAATATATACACAGTTGTAAGATGTAGGTGATAAATACTTTTCTATTTATATACATATTTTCATTGTGAATTATAGATGCAATATATATTACTTTAATTATATTAAGAGTTTAACTAGGCTCTGTAATATATAAATATAAATTTAACATATATAAGATAGGCAATAAGAGCCAAATCGCGGATGACAGTGCGTTATTCTAAACGAAACTAAATTTTTTCGTTAGAATTAAATACCTGTGCACAAGGCACCAAATTTTTACTTGGACACGGCCAAGATATAAAATTGGAATAATCTCTACAAGAGATTTTTAATTCCATGTATCCCCTATTCCCCCTAAAGAAATAAAGTGCGAGAGAAAAATATAGATCCGAAAGTCGCAGAATCGGCAAGCGAAAGGTCTCGGGTTCGTTTCCCGATTCTGCGACTTTCGGATCTATATTTTTCTCTCGCACTTTATTTCTTTAGGGGGAATAGGGGATACATGGAATTAAAAATCTCTTGTAGAGATTATTCCAATTTTATATCTTGGCCGTGTCCAAGTAAAAATTTGGTGCCTTGTGCACAGGTATTTAATTCTAACGAAAAAATTTAGTTTCGTTTAGAATAACGCACTGTCATCCGCGATTTGGCTCTTATTGCCTATCTTATATATGTTAAATTTATATTTAATTATATTATTATGTATCTGAAATTGCAATAATATATATTTATGTCGACGATAAAAATCGATAGATCGAACGAAATAAATCGAGTATTGAACGATTATCGATAATGCAGAAACCTTTAAACCATCATATTTCGTCGGTCGATAAGTAAAAATTCCAGATATATAGAGAAAGAGAGAGAGAGTGAGAAGGAGAAAGAACTCGAGCGAAAGAGGGGACAAAGAGAACGGAAAAGACGAGCGTATCGAGGCGGTTAGTTTGCAACGTGACCGGCGTAGAGCGCCACCGCCATCGCGAACGGACGGCTCTCTCGCTCGTGTGTGCCTGTGCCTGCGGTGTAGTGTGTACAGAGAGTGTACGGCTAGAATATACAAGTGCAGTGGAAGAAGACGGGGCGCGAGAGCACGCAAATCGAGGGACGTGAAACGCAGAAAGGAAAAAAACGCGCGTTCTCGCGCGAGCCTCGTTCGCGGAACCGTGTGGGCGCCCGACGAACGAGACGAGTTCGCTCGCCGTGCCGTGTCGTGCCGTGTCGTGCCTCCTCGCACTCTCTCTCGCGGAGAGTGCGCGCGCGCGCGCGCGCCAGTGTTTTGTGTGCCTGTGTGTGCGTGCGTGCGTGACGTGCGTATACGAGAGGACGGGGCCGACGACGAGGATCGTATTGTTCCGGGGCGTTTAATTATGCCCGCGGCCAGGAAAAAGAGCTGCTGTCGCTCCTGCCTCTCTTCCTTCTCTTTCGTCACCGTATTCTCCTCCGCCTGAAGAGAGTGCACCGAGTGCTGCGAGGCGCATGCTTCCCCGCCCGCTCCCTCGCCATTTTGGAGGTGAATACGATTTTCTCGGCCCTTTTTTCAGCCGACATTCTACCCCCCTCGAATTTCGCTCCCGCGGATTCGCGATGTCATCCGGACCGATCTAAACGCCGAAGTGTGTTTTCGTATTGACGGAGTGCAGCGCTGCATCGCTCTGACGTGGGAGGGGGCCCGATCCTTGTGTGCCCGCATTCATTTTTTATTTTTTTCCGTCTCTACTCCCGAGAGCGAGTCATCGTCGTTCGAGCTTTCCGCGAATGTCAGTCGCGCTCTCGAATCTCGAGAGAGAGAGAAAAAAAGATAGATGATCTTCTCTTCAAGAGAGAGAGAAATTTCCGTATTAGGCTTCTTTCTATTTCGCTTTCTTTTTTTTTTTTTTCTAAGGATTCCCCTCGGCGCCGCTCGATAATTTTCTCACACCCCCGTCGTTCAAACGCGCCCTGCCGAATATTTTGACTCTTCCCCTCCTCTTCCCTCCCCTGATTCCGGTTCCGGTGCGGTTTCAAGGCAGTCGATGATATCAAACGACGACGACGACCGGTGTCCTCTTCTACGCCAGGATCCTCCTCCGTTTTGATATACTAGGTGTCAGTTCTTCTCTTTCTCTCTCTCTCTCCTTCTCCCTTGTCGGAGAATAATGTGACTAACGCGATAACAATGACGAGAGTTCTCTCGCTCCTGCGTTATTTCTGCGGTGTCGTATTCTTCTTCTCTCTCGTCGAGGATCGCCTTTAGATCTCGCTCTGCAAACAAAAAAAAAAAAAAAAAAAAAAAAGAAAAGAAAAACGATGACAAAGCCGGACAATAGGCCGAATGTAAATGTTTGTTGTTGTGTTGTTTGCGGTTCGCGAGCTGTGTGCCACGTTAAACTCGCGGCGAGACTCGTAAAGTGCATCCGGTCGAAAGATCTGGCTGGCGACTTCTGACGTTCGCGTGAAAGACTCGGGATTATTTTTCTCGCGGACTTCGGGGAACGTAAATGCATAATCCAGTCCCATCCTCGAGGATTGAACACTTATTCGCGATAATTTTGAAAGATTTGACCGAAGGATCACTTGAGTAAATGAAATTTAGAAATATAAATAAAGGGTGATTTTGTACAGATAATTTCCAATTAAAACTTTGATTTGTGTGTGTGCCAAGTTGTTTATTGGAAATTTACAAATTACAGAAGATATTGACATATAAAGTTTGTAACGAGATGCAGTTGCTGCAAGTTGGTCAAAGATTCTTCATCGAATGATGATTTTACCAGTTCGCACATTTGCAGTGACACATTATAATTAAATGAAACTTAGTACTAATAGTGTCATAAATTAATAATGAAAAAATCGGTTACAAAATTTGTTTTCACTGCAAAGATGTTAATTCTAATTAGTACATAGGAATTATTGTTCTAGGTCCAGTACAATTTCAAAGTAATATTTAAGCATAATTTTAGGAAGAATGTAGATTTTCAACAATTGAAATTTGAAATAAAAAAGAACTTTTGTGGTGAAACATTGATAATTTTGAAGTTAAAGATATAGATGGTTTTTGTTAAAGTTTTAAAAATATAAACAGATAACGAAACTTTATCATTTATTTCACTTAAAGTGATCACTCATCACATGGAATTTTAATTTCTTATTTATCAAAGTATTTAATTGCTGAAAAGTGAAACATTATTAAGTCTTAATCTTTCCTTTAATATCTTTACAAAAATGTATATAGCAATTGGTTAAAACTTATCTAATGTGAAAAGAAACGATATTTTTCTATTTCTAACGATGTATGCATTAGTGTAACTCTAAATTTTAATCAGTTCTTAATGTGTTTAACTCTAACATATTCTTTTTTTTTTTTCTAGATAGAATGTTAAATTCGGGAATGGACTGACAGAGGATCTGTTAAAGTCAGCAGATTCAGGCAAGGAATCTAAATACGATTCAACAAGGCAAGGTGTCTGGAGTAGGCCTCGGGCATCTAATTATCAACAACTCGACTATGCCAGCTGTTGCAAGGCCTGGTAGTTTGAAGGACCCAGAGATTGCCGAATTATTTGAGAAAAATGATCCGGAGAAAATATTTGAGGATCTGCGCGAGATCGGGCATGGTAGTTTCGGGGCTGTTTACTATGCACGATGCCTGGTTACCAAAGAAATTGTTGCCATCAAAAGATGTCCTACTTGGGGAAGCAAACGGTGGAAAAATGGCAGGATATTTTAAAAGAAATTCGATTTCTTAGGCAACTTAATCATCCTAACACTATAGAGTATAAGGGTTGCTATCTCAGGGACCACACTGCCTGGGTATGCACTTTTTTTGATCCTACTTTTAGATCTTTGAAAATGACATTTTGTAAACATTGTACGAGCTTTGCTATTTTTTTTACAGTTGGTGATGGAATATTGTCTTGGCTCTGCATCAGATATTATCGAAGTACATAAAAGACCGTTGAAAGAAGAAGAGATAGCTGCAATATGTGATGGTGTGCTGCGTGGCTTGCATTATCTGCATTCTCTCGGTAGAATTCATCGTGATGTGAAAGCAGGAAATATTTTACTTACTGAAAATGGTACAGTGAAATTAGCTGATTTTGGATCCGCGAGTATAAAATGTCCAGCCAATAGCTTTGTAGGGACTCCATACTGGATGGCACCTGAAGTTATATTGGCTATGGACGAAGGGCAGTACGATGGCAAGGTGGATGTATGGTCATTAGGAATAACATGCATCGAATTAGGTATATATTTATGATTTAATATACCATTTATTATTATAAAATAACCTTCTAGGTAGAATTAATAAATTAATTTTTGTATAAAAATTATATTGATTATTTGAGTATCAAAATTATATTGATTATTTATTGAAAATTATATTGAATTACAAGGAGTATCAATATGAATTCCTCTAGCTTTCTAATTTATAATTTATATTTTAATTATTTTGTTTTTTATTAGACGATCCTAATTATTATATCTATAATTCGTAATTTAAATATACGAAATTTAACTTAATGCTTATTTATTAATTACAGCGGAAAGAAAGCCGCCTTATTTTAATATGAACGCCATGAGCGCTTTGTATCATATTGCACAGAATGATACTCCAACGTTAAATTCGCCAGATTGGACTGATGTTTTTCGTCATTTTGTTGAGGTGTGTCTCACAAAAAGTCCAATTGAAAGATCGACATCCGGGAAACTGTTATCAGTGAGTCTATACATATATGCATTGATATGCTTCATATATATATCATATCTTTTTTTTAACATTATTATGCATGGTATATTAATAGTATATATAATAGTTAATAGTCTAGTTGTTCTCTTCTATATCTTTTAACTTTTTACAGCATCCATTTGTCACCAGATCACGTTCTCCTCAAGTTTTAATAGATTTGATACAGAGAACGAAAGCTGCTGTCCGAGAATTAGATAACTTGAATTATCGTAAAATGAAGAAAATCTTGATGATTGACGCATGCGAAACAGAGAGCACAGTGGGTGATGCTGATGGTACATAAACAATTTAATCTATTATGTTAAACTTAGTAAACTTATATATATTTTTTTCACAACTGATGGAGTATGTATAAATTTGCTATATGTGCATTTTATTGACATTTCTAAATCTTTACAACTATGTGATTACAGATACACCTGATGAACAAACAGGTGGTGATAGTAGCAAAAGTAATTCGATTACCTCAGAACATTCAATTCACTCGATGGGCGTTTCAGCAAGCTCTCAAAGTTCCTCTACCAATAGCCTGCCGCTACCGAATGCTGATGGTAATGACTATTCCTCAGGATCTGTCAGAAATCGGCATAAAGTTTCAGCAGGTGGTGTCACTGCCAATCTTCTTGAACATGGTGCCAATAATTTTGCAACAATTAGGACAACTTCAATTGTTACCAAACAACAAAA